AAGACCGTGTAAAAAAAAAAAAAAAAAAAAAAAAAAAGGGACACTTCCCCAGAACTTCCAACAGAGTCCAGCAAGGAAGACCACAATATCTTCAGATAATCCATCAGATTCCTATATTAACAATGACAGAGGTGTCAACGTAAGACGAAAGTCACTTTTTTAAAAAATTTAAAACAATTCTGTGGAGTAAGAGGTAAAATTATAAATACAGTTGTCACACACGACTTACTCAGATCCTGCCTTGTTACTGCCATGGTGGTTATCCTGGCAATAGAGCTGTGCCATTAGGGTTTGTCACATGCTCTTACAGTATGAGGGCCATCTGTGAATGTATGCATATGCTGTGACATATACATACAACAGGACTCACACATGCATTTTAACATCTTTAACTGTCCAAGAAGCAAAGCACAGTAGTCTAGCATTTAAGTAAATGCAATTAAAAATGCAATCTCAGGTCAGATCCATTCTGGTAGACAATATAGACAGGTAATAGTGAGAAAAAGCCCTGCTCCAGCCAGCCTTGGTATTTTGACACTGACAGTGAGGTGGTTTAGGGTGCCAGTTTCACTATCAAGAAATACAGGTGTTTAGGGCCAGTGAGATAGCTCAGTGGTCTATGCACCTGCTTAGGCAAGCACAGGAACCAGGGTTCTATCCCTGGCCCCACATGCTGTGCTGGCCCCGCCCACAGGCCCACTGAGCCAGCCACCAAGACTGAGCATAGTGACACGTGCCTGTAATTCCAGCACTGGGGAGGCTGAGACAGGAGGCTCTCTAAGAGTCCAAGCTGCATAGTGAGACCCTGTACCACATACGTGGAAGGAAGGAAGGAAGGAAGGACAGAAAAAGAAAGAAAGACAAATAGTTGTTTAAAATAGAAATTAACTGGGATGAGGGAAAGAAAATCAAGAATGTAAAAAATACACATCTATATACACAGAATAACTTCAACAATGGTACAGTTGATTTCTACTGAAAGGAAAGGTTAAGGCTTAAAATTTTTCTTCTTTTTAATTTTTTGAACAACTTTGAATACTTATATCTGGTAATAAACAACTAATTTGCAGACAACAATATGCAATGTAACACTTGGTGAATTCCTATTATTTTGTTTAGTGAAATTGTATTGTTTCTAATTTTTTTTACTCTTTTGAAAAAATAAAAATTAAAAAATATATTTAAAAAATAGAATTTAAGTAATAAAAATATAAAATTCCTACTATTTTCACACAGTTGTGTTTTGGAAGTGATCTTGCTCAATATTTGAATGAGGAAAGGTGGGCATAGTAGTGCACCCTTGTAATCCTGGTACAGGGGAGGTTGAGGGAGGAGGATTGTTGCAGGTTCAAGACCAGGCTGGGCTAGAAAGTGAGCTCAAGTTCAGCCTGAACTGCATAGCAAGACCCTCTCTCAGAAAGGCCAAAAAAATTTGAATGAAGAACTTAATGAAATAACAAAATAACTAAAAATCTAAGGATCAATGAAGGGTTTACAGAATATTAAAAATACTTATTGAAGTATACCTTAAAAATCCAAGACTACATATATGCAAATACATGGATATTTACATATGCATATAAATGTGCAATACACAAAAATATGCATTCAAAAGTCATTAAAATTTAGATCGTTTGGAGATGAGAGCATTTTAATAATGCTTTTATTAAATACTATCCGGTCTATGTGCTCCAGAGAACCACTGTCCAATGAAACTGTGAGGATGGAAATGTCCTATACCTCCACTACCCAGCAGGGGAACCACTGCAACAAACAGATCTTTCAATCCTTAAAACAGCTAGTCTGATTGAAAAATTCAACTTTTTTAAAATTAATTTTATTGAGAAACAAATAGCAATGAGACAGTTTCAAAACAGGTTAGTAGGTCAGTTACAATAATTAATACACTGATATTATTGTCTTCACAGTAATTATTCATAGTACAAGATGAGACATAATATCTTGTCCAAACACTACTAGTACAAATATTTCTTCTCATTGAATTAAGAGAAAGTAGCTGTATATCTATCCTATTTTGTATATGCAGATACAAAAGAAAAATTCAACTTTTAACTTCACTTCATTTACACTGGTTTAAATTTAAATAGCTCCATATGGCCAGGGGCCACCATAACTGAAGTGCAGAGCTAAAGTGCAACTGCTTCCCCTCTGGCTTTGCCACCACGCACATCTTTCCTTCAAAGCTTTGCCCCCTGGCCATCTCATCACCATGGGACAGAAGTACTCGCTCCCTGCATTGTGCTTCAGTAGACTCTTCTGCATTTCCTCACAGTCATATGTGGCCACTGGACAGAAGCTCTGCACAGAACAGTCTCCCCTGGCAAGTCACAGTCAGGCAGGGTTTCATTCTCCGTCCCCTCAGCTTCTGACATAAGGAACTACCATGGCCAGTTCTTATTCTACGTTTGTGAAATGAACATGAAAAGGCTACCAGCCCGAGACTAACCATGAAGGTTCTAAATGAAAACAGAATGATTCTGGAGCACATCCCTTTGGCTGCTGCTTGCTTTCTTACATTCATCCAAGCCATTTCCACCTTATCCAAATCTTAGCTAAGTGGTACAGATAATATTTCTGCTAAAGCAATTTCAAGGGCGCCTGATCAAATCAGACACATGATGCCCTGGTGGTTTAAAGCTGAGCTTCTCTGTGCAATCACTCTCAAATAAAAATGATAGGTTATGAAGCATGAGAAGAAACAACCTCGTTGTGGTGCAAAATTTTAAATGCCGCAGAATGTAGTATACTCACCATCTCCAACATCAAAGTCCTTGAAAGCTAGCTCGGAACCTGAGTCATCAAGCAGGATTTCGCCATTCAGTGTGAACATCATAGTGTGTTCGTTCATGTCAACCATGCAGCCCACAACATCACCTGCCTGCCAGGAGCGCCCGTAGTGCTCATTGCCCTGGTGCCACCGCTGAGCCTACAGAGGACAGAAGAGTCCCTTGTCACAGAGTCAGCCAAGAGAGCAGCACCCCCACCTCAACTGACAAAACTATTAGCACAGCATGGGATGGACTACAGCCAGTGCACTGCCTGCCTGCAGCAATGACCTAAGTCATACAGCGACAGCTGCAAAGTCTGCACTTGATGTCAACATGGGTCACTAACTTAAAAAATTCAAATGCCATATCATGATTTAAAGGCTGTTATTTTAAAAATCTAACTCCACATGCTTTTGAAAGAAAAATAATGTACATTTATTTATAATTTACCATTCATTCATTCACTCATTTGTTCATTCATTCTTTTCTTCCATTTATTGTATTTTTGGCAATGATAACTTCCCTGCAAAAGGGTGGTTTTCCTGTGTCCCATAAATGCAAAGTATTAAAAGCTGAGAATGTACCATTGACAATCATAATTTTCATCTGTTTCAAAATAAAATGTCATTTCTTAGAACTCATGGCAATGATACCTTTATAAAATAAAAATCCAAGAGCTTCTTAGTTATATACTAAAATTCAAAAAGTTTTCAGCCAAATCTAAAAATATTCTTAAAATATCCACTACAACAGCAAATCAAAAATAGAATAGGGATGCTATCTATCCTTCTTTATATACATAAGAGAAATCTCATACTGCAAATGCATTTGAAACCGTTTGATAAACTCATATGCTAGCTCTAGAAGTACAATCTACTAGCTTATATGTATAAAGTTATTTACATTCATTTCTTTGTCAGATAAATCTTTTAAATTCTTGCTAAAGCATAACCTTCAGTTTGAACTGTTATTTAAGGGTGTATAATTACAAACACAAAACAATGACATAATTCTTCCTAAAATAGTACTATACTTGGAAAGAACCTAACAAAATGAATTATCTAAAGGTGTTAAAGTTCAGAGCCCACTTGCTTAGCTCTGGGGATCTCCTTCATGCCCCGCCTAATGTCTGTCCTGGTTTGAGGATGCTTCTTTGTCTGTGGTGGGGCTGAGAGAAAAGGACGCTTCAGCTGGCTAGGAGCTCCTCCTTGGTTCCTTATGTTAGACCTTCAGCAAAAGGAAGGCTAAAACTGTGTTTCTTTTTCAACATTTAATAAACTTTGCTAATTTTTGATTGTTCTAAAAAATGTCAAGGGCAATCCATTTGGATCCCCATTCTGTCCTTCTCTTGGACAGGAGCTTTCTTTCCACCCAGTAAATGTGTTTTGCTCTTAAAGAAGAAATGTCAAAATTTTC